CCAGATCTACTAATTCATACTTTTCTATTTTAACTTCTTTTGGGTAAGGAGATCCCTCTTTAATGGAATCAAGGGGTGGAAAACCAAAGCCACAAGTTATCATAAAAAACCTAAAGCAAAATTGTCAGACAATTAAGGGCTTAAGAATACAGAATCCTGGTGCAGTGAAGTGAGGGTAAATGATAGAACAGGTAGAAAAAATATGGATTCAGTCAGGCCGGGCGTTGGTGGCGCACGCCTTTAATCCCAGCACTCGGGAGGCAGAGGCAGGCGGATCTCTGTGAGTTCGAGGCCGGGCTGGACAGACAGCCTCCAAAACAATACAGAGAAACCCTGTCTCATAAAAACAAACAAACAAAAAAAAAAGAAAGAAGAAAAAAATATGGATTCAGTCAAGAGATGCATGAGTCAAGAGATGAATGAGGTCTGTATTTATAGGCCATTTATAACTTATTTTTTTTGGAATGTGTTGGGCTCTCGTAACAGTTTGATTTTTAAATGGATATGCATATCTGTGTGTTTACACATCTCTGTGAATGGGTCTGTTTATTCAAGCTTATATGTTTGGTTTTATGTACTATAAATTCTCCATGTTATCTTCTCAATTCTCCTGCTGCAGAAAGAAGTACAGACAATAAATGAAAGGGTATGCCTACTTTCCAACAACATTTAATTTATTGATATTTAAGTATAAATGATAGTATTTATGTGTCATAATATATTTTTCATCTGTCTTTATCATCAATCTAAAAATGAGAAAGTACTCTTATCTTGTTAGCCACAAAAATATTATGTGGGAATATTTCAATTCACAGACCATTTGCTGAACCTTAGTATCTCGTGGTTGCTCAATAAACCAGAAACATGTATCTTTATGTATTTTCATTTATCACAGTCACCATGAGGTCAGATCATCACTTTTTCATATGAGTACTATGCTAAACAAGAAACATGGTGGTGCAACACGGGAAGGGATGAATGCAGGTGAACACATGTCTGAGATTAATGAATTTACTGAGCAGTTTAGCATAATATTCTTCATCTCTTTCTGTGCATTAGAATCAGACGGGCAGTATTAAAATATACTGAACTCTAGATCACATGCTCAGAGGATCCAGTGTGGTGTTTCAGATGTGCCACAAGGGGTAAAGGCTTACCCCACATAAACCAGTTTAAAGATGTAGCATTTGGGGGAATCACAAAGACTAGAAGAGAACTGCATTTAATCTTTCCCTCTTTTCTTTTTAGATTTTTGATATTTCTTTCTCCTTTATCAGATTTACCTCATTTTGCAGTTATAACTTCTCTTTCCCATCTTTCTTATGTATTCATTTCAGATTTGAAATAATTAAAATAAGCTAGAAAAGCTTATATGCCTCAGAAGGAACATCCTTCGTTCTCTGTGGGGAAGCATGCATTATACTTTGTTCTCAGTGTTAGTGGCTCTTATATTAATGGTGCCTTCTGGAATACTCATTTAACCATTGTAGTACAAGCTCAACATTGTCAGCCAGTCTAGTAAGGGAGGGTACTGGAAAATGATTTCCTAAATACCAATCCTGGGACAGCATTACATAAACCCATAAAAGTAATGCAGATTACAGTATCTGTCCTATCCTTGGGTCCTCTATACAGAAATGTATATATCTCTAAAAGCATCATCAATATTTGGGGGCAACATGGAATTAAAGGTAACAAAAGAGTAGACTTTTCAAAGTATATTTCATAAAATAAATTAGAAGAGACTCTTCTAATCTAGAAAATGTGTCTCTCTGTAACCTAATATAATGAAGCCCCATAGACCCTGTCAAACATGTCTCCTTTCTCCTTCTTTCCAGTTTCCCCTTAACCATGTTAGCCTGAACATCTGTTGCCAATGGTTTATAATATGTATTTAAATCATGATAATATGATATCTGAATCAAAATGGAGTTTCTTAATTCACTTTCTAACTTCTCTAAATTTGAATATAACATGCTTTCTATTTAAGTGGCAAAGGTCCAGGCACTTATGACACATTATAAATAACATTTAAAGTACTTGACACCAAAGTATTTAAAATTCTGTGCCTCTTTACACTAAACCTTTTCTTAGTCTAACCAAGCAAAAGGAAATATTTTGGAACACTCATAGTAAATGTCAGGGACAAATGTGAACGTCTGTCATTTCTGAGCTAAGGCTGTTGGCAATAATAATTTCCAGTAGCTGACTTAGGATCACAAGATTTTTTCCTTATTACAGGTTAGCCTGTTAAATGTCATCATTCTGATTAACCAACTGCTGCCAGCACTTCTACAGTAAATAGGACTTTTGCTTTTAGTCCTGTTGAAAGCAAGATGGGAAATTTGTCAAAACCACTTGGATCTGGGAAGGCCTTAAACACAGATAGAAGCAGAATATTCACATGAATCCTTCTGTAATTTCTAGACCTCTTTTTGAAAGACTCACCTCTTTGTGGGACATTTTAAAAAATGTTTTCCCCATTAAATAGTAGGGAGAAGTATTTCTAGAATATTTTTCTGAGAATCCATAACCTGTGGTCAGTACATATCACTGGGTTGGTCTCTGATCTTTTCCTAAACTTAGTAGGATATCTGAGATGAACGGAAGCCTGTGGAAAAGTGTAAGTGTGGTTACTGTTGTCAAAGTGCAGTGTCTGCTGTAAGAGGGTTCAGGAAACTTGTTCTAAAACGAAGAACTCTAAATTGCATCAAACTATTAAAACAGAAAATCTGTTATTTTGTCAGGATCAACAAGCAGTCAGAGACAACTCTGAGCTATAGCACTGAGATTTGGCACTATCTCTAGAAAGAGGAGGCCAGAGATGCTATCAAAATGATGCTATGTAGAACGTTTATCAAGATTCTCGCAGTCAGATGCCAATAACTAACTTATAGTTCAGCATTCCTTTGTCCTTTCCTTGCTAGAGCATTCTGTTAATGCAGATTTCTTCGGGTTGGAAAGATTTGATCTTAGTGAGATGATGTGAGATCAGTATGAAAAAAAACAGAATATGTAGGTCCAGGCTTTGGGTGCATGTGCAATGCTGTTGTTAATCTCTTCTTCAGGTGTTATCTTTGTGGGATCATGGTGTTTCAGCAGTGCATGTGTATAGAATAGCTCTTTTAGTAATTTTTTCAGTTAGCAGGCAATGCACCAGGGTTGATTGTCAAATTTTCATACATATCTGTCATCACACATTGCTCTTAGTTGCTTCCCACTACCCTCTTCCTCCCCACTTTTACTGGTCCCTGAACAAGAAGGAAAAAAAGATTTGGGCAGAAAATGCAAGAATAATTGTTCTCTCTCCCTTATTTTTTGTTTAATGATAATATCCTACTAAGTAGTCCGAGCTAGCCTCAAACTCATGGTTTTCCTCTCTCAGACCTTGGAATGCTAGGGATACTGGTATGGAACACTATGCCCTGCTCATCTTTAACCTCTGTAAGATTTACTTTCCTTGTCATTAAAATTGAAATTTTATTTCAGGAATGCTGAGGAAAAGGAAACTGATGAAGACCTGAATAGTAAATACTACTGTTATTTGCAGACTTATTACAGAGAGTGGTGGCTGGCAATGTCAATGAGGGAATAATTTGCTTTGATGGCTTCTCAGAAAAATACTCAGGATTTATGATTATCACTTATGATGGTCATTGCCTGCTCTTTCTTTTCCCATATTTATTTTCTGGTAACAATGTATGTAGGTTCAAACACTGTTACAATTCTTTCTTTGCCTGGTATGCTAGCACACATCTTTAATGCCAGCCCTTAGACGGCAGAGGGAGACAGATCTCTTGTGAGTTCTAGGCCAACCACAACTATATATTGAGACCCCTTCTCAAAGAACAAAACAAAAGACAGAATTATTTACTTACTCCATCTGCTCTTACCTACAGGTGGCTCAGCTGTAAACCCTAATCACTATTAATTGTCGACATGCCTTGTCAATCATATACTTACTATTATAGCTTACAAAAACAATAATTGAAAGCACAAATGTCACATAGTCTTGTTTACTAGCCTATTTTGACTCACTGAGATAAGGGATTAAAATAGGAATATTTCCTTTTTTTAAAGTTCTCTCATACATTAAGTCCTTATTGCAGTTTTCCCTGTCTCTACTCACTCCTCCTTGCCCCTTCCCAACTATCTCTGCTCTCCCCTGGATCCACTCCTCCTCCATTTCCCTTCAGAAAAGAGCAGGCCTCCCTGGAATGAATGTGTCTCTTTTAAATTCTAATTTGTCTGAATTGTGTATTTACCTGTACTGCTCCACTAAATAAGAACCTTGTGATCACCTCCTCAGCAGGAATCGCTTTTCTCATCACTGAATAGATCAAATCATCCTCTCAAATATGAAAATGATTTGAGTCCATTTACCCAGTGTCACTATTTTATAGCATATTTGTTAGCCACAAAAGAGTCAGACTTTTAAAAATTAACTATAATTTCTAATAGTTGACTAAGCATAACTGAGTGACTCTGCACCAGAGAAAATGCTGGAGATAACACGGGAGCCCACAGTTAATAGGAATACCTTCAAGATGCACGTATACACAAGAATTACAGTTCCTCAAAACCTGTAAGTGAACAGGGACTGAGGAGAGCAAGGTCTGTGCTTGTCAAGAAAGGCCAGATGGGGAAGGCAGAACATCTTCTGTACTTAAAGGAGAGGACTCACAAGGATAAAGAATGAAAAAGAGGTGTGGACTGTGGACTGTTCAGAGTGATGATGAAAACTGGGAAATAAAGTTGGAAAGGTAGGGTGAAGCTCAGTTACATGACAATGGAGTTAGACAAGTTAGGATGTGGGCACATGACCTAGTGAAGTTCAGCAGGACTTTGAGGAAGGTGCCATGAAAACTACTGAGCAGCTCCAGTGTGGCCCTTGTCAACTTGGTGTGATTTGCATTTTCCATCATTTTCCTTATAAACATTTCCTGCCTGGTGTCTTCGGCTGCTGTCAAAGTTGGAGTGTGTTTTATCCTATTGTTTAGGAGAAGTGTCGCTTCATCAGATCTCACTGACCAGGAGGCAGGACGAGGAACACCGAAAAACGGTTACAGCAATGGTGGAATCCCAGTCACTCAGAGGTCACCAGCCCCAAGTGCTCGTAGTGTGACCTCTATCAGCAGTAGAGTAAGTATACAGCTGTGTAGAGACCGAGTCTCTAGGACTTAGTTTTCCCACCACCCATGACTCTGGTTGAATTCTCAGTATCTCAGAGCATGTTGTTTATGCTGTTGAATGCAATGTATCCTTAGCTTTGGGACAGAAACCCAAAATGAAGACAAAAGGGCAAACCAGGTTTTAAAGGTACTGTTATACACCGATCTTTAAATGGCTGTGTGAAATATGAAGAGTTAATTGAAGGTTCAGACTTTCATCCTTCATGTTACTTCTCAGATGACATATTTATAAGTTAATTTATAAATTAGCTGTACTAAGTATTTCCTATGTTGGTAGATATTCTACAGGAAAAGTAGGACCTTGGAATCATATTATAATTTTCTTTTCCCTCTTTGCATTTGTTAAAATGCAAGGTCAAACTTACAATAAAGGCTTAAATTGGTATTGTGAGTGTGTGTGTGTGTGTGTGTGTGTGTAGAGATACACATACACATATAATACATGAAAAAATTGCTTTTGTATCACATTTTTTCTTTTAAGGAAGAGAAAGCACCAAACACTTGGAAGTAATACTTTATTTTATCAACTACTCTATTGGAAGTCATTCTTGGAATAAGTTATCATCTATTAGACTTTTTATTAAGCAAGAAATTTGATATTGCTGGAGTCTATATCTAAGATATCATTACATATGAACTTTAATACTTTGATTCAGCCATAATTTAGTGAAGTGAAACCTCCTGAAAGGGCCTGGACAAGGAAAGATTTAAAAATAAGTGAAAGAATCAGCCATGCAAATGTCTGAGCAGGCAGTGTCCTCCAGACAGACCAAATCAATGTAAAAAGAAGAAGTGCCTTGGCCCTGATAGTAAAGTGTCTGTGTACTTCATGAGCTGCCAGCGTAAAGAACCTGAGGTGGGCATGACCGATTTGCTAAAGGAAGACCCAAAAAACAGTGTACTGCTGTTAGTAAATGGAGAAAAATGGACTTCCATATGAATTCAAAGAAGTCAGGAGTCAGCAAGGACCCTGAAAACTGCTGTATAGCCTTCAATATTTAGTCTGGTTAAGATAGGTGACACTATAGGGCTCATGTAGCCAAGTAACATGATTTAGCATCTGTTTAGGCGGGATCTCGGGAGGGGGCTGCTGAGGAATCCCTGAGGGAAGTAAGTTAAGCCTGTAGATAGATTATTTAGGAAGCTTTTGCCATAGTTCCGCCATTAAAAGGGACTTGGGAACAGGGAGGTAGCAGGAGGGTGGGCAGTGAGCAATCAGAGTGTTTCAGTGTTTTGGAGGAAGAGTCAAATGACAGTCAGACAGACTGAATATCGTTGATTGATCTGTTTCAATACAGCCTAAGTTGCACTTCCTTAGATAAAAGGCATATTTTGAATTTCATAAATATTTATGCTAAGCTTAGCAATTGGATTCTGTTCATCCATCACCAAAGTGCATAGATTGTTGATGTTCATATTTTCTTCTTTTGTTACCTAACAAGGAGTGATATTTAATGTATTGATGAGCTGGTAGTGAGGAGACCCTGACCAATCAGAGCAAACACTGTACAAGGCTTAGGAACCTTGGATGCCTTATAAAGGGAATTGTGGGTGAGGAAAGGCATGAGGAAGGGGGGTAAGATGAACATAGTGATAATGTTTACCAGCTATTATGATATAAAAATATTAAAAACATTATCAACTGCTGTGCCTATGCCAGCGGGTGGCAGGTGACTATCAGTCCAGTTGCCAATAAGTTAATTCAGTTTGGTTGATCTCAAAACAAGGATTATCTTCCCAAGTATGATTTCTTCTACAGTGAACCTTGGAAGACTTTCTCTGCATATACCGTGAAGGTGTGGAACTTGTTATTGTGTTCCCACTGGTCTAAGTTGGCTTGTTTAAAGAGGAAAAATGTTTTCTTGTTGATAAGAAAGTAATTTATAAAGCACATTGCTTTCGTGTGTGTGTGTGTGTAATAGAGAGAGAGACCCACCTCACAATTTCTTCTATAGATGAAAACCTTCTCTATCTCTGTTTATGCTATGATATAAACTGCTAATTTTAGACTTCGCCACCTGAAGCTCTAGAGCAATGCTTCCGAACCTTCCTAATGCTGAGACCCTTTAATATAGTTCCTTGTGTTGTGCTGACCCCTAACCATAAAATTATTTTCCTTTCAGCCTCATAGCTGTCATTTGCTACTATTATTAATTGTAATGTACATATCTATTTTCTGATTGTCTTAGGCAACCCCTATGAAAGGGTCATTCAACTCCCAAAGGGGCTATGGTCCACAGGTTGAGAACACTTGCTGTAGAGTATGTGTTGCATGTTAATACCTATACAATGTTAACTAACATATTAATGTTCAATATTAATGCTACCACCAAATCACCTGTGGGAAAAAGTTCCCTCATCATAATTGCCAATAAGGAGCTTAGTCTTGCTTCATTAGGAAACTTCCAGGTGTTAAGAATTTTGTGATAAGCTATTGAAATCTGACCTAAACTAATTCATACATTTGACCTCTGTTACACTCCGGATAAGCTTTGCTGTCTATGATAATTAGAGGAATTAGAAGAAATATGCTTTCTGCTATAGGTCTTACATGTTGGAAATAATGAAATACTGCAAACAGTCTACTTGAGCTGAATTTATTAACATGCTAAGCAAGTAAGAGTCGGATCTATCTGTGGAGATTTATTAAGTATTCCTGCATGTCTAGGATGTTGGGCAACCAGGAGGGAATTGATCCTGCAGGCACCCTTTAACCATTTATAATAGGAAGAATGGTAAAGTCTCTCTTAGGTTTAACAGTTATCACACCATGGTGTCATTTTCATTGATATTTAACCTCGGCCTAATTCTCAAGAGGACCACAGTTTTTTTTCTTAACATTAACTAAGACTTAGTGCCAGGAGGTGGTGGCACATGCCTTTAGTCCCAGCACTTGGGAAACACAGGCAGGTGGAGCTCTGTGAGTTCAAGGCCAGCCTGGTCTAAAGAGCAAGTTCCAGGATAGACAGGGCTGTTACATAGAGGAATCTCTCCTCAAGAAACAAAACAAAAAAAAAAGCCTAGCTAGTGTCCCTAGACATGACAGAGGAAATACACCTGTGACATGTTGACAATATAGCTTGCTAAAGGGGGGAAATCATTTTCCTTCAAGGCTGGGTTCCCGCATAGGCTTTCCAATCTCAAGTGGTTAGCCCTCGACATGCATGTACATATGACCAATGCTAAATGGTCTCAGTAAGTTACATGTGTGTGTGTGTGTTTAATAGATGTTTAATATACATATTGATATATACTGTCTAATATTGATAGATTAACAATAACAATTAAGGAAGAGATCATTAATTTGAGAATGAATCAAGAGAGTCGAGGGGTAGAGTGATATAGATGAAAGTGCTCATATATGAAGTTTTTAACAAAAAAGATTATATTTTTTTACAAAAGCAAGCTTATACTGACCAGATGGGAATCAGCAGACCTGGGACAGGGTTTTGTTTTTGTCATGTCACACAGTGAAAGTCAATCTCAGACTGTATTATCCCACATGTACAGACATTTATTTGTAGTTAGGCATCCCCTAAATCACCTGTGACTCTAGGTTGAGGAGTACCTGCTGTGTCCTGTTGGGATCAGGTGCACTAGGCTCTCTGATGGAAAAGCTGCAAACTACATCCCAAGCTCAGCTGGCTTATTACATAACAGTCTAGTAGGGAGGTGGGTTCATTGCATACAGCTGAACAAGGAGAAGAGGCTATAACGTCCGGTTGATTAGGGATGCAGTTTCACTAATCTCAGTAGGATCATCATTTTATGGAGGGGAGCAGTCTTCTGGCCATTAGCATCCAAGGGAAAGTAAAGCTATTGTGGACATTTCCTTCATACACTATCAACATTTATATGCATGCCAGAAGAGGCTTTGCCATCCCTTTGGGAATGAGGCATTGGTCCTTGACATGGCCATTCTCATGTCAAAGAATACCCAATTACTCACGACCTCACCTGCTCCCTACAAGTCTCTATTCTTATAAACACTGATAAGTATCATGCATGACATTTTTATTTCAACATACATGTAACTATATTTTGATCACCCAGTCTTCTAGATGGAAAAGATGACAGGGTCTTAGGTTAAATGTGGTGATAGAAAGTATAGTGTATGTGAGTCAGTTTTCCAGGGTCTAGCTCAGTAGTTCTCAGATTGTGGGTCATGACCCCTTAGGGGTTGCCTAAGACACTCAGAAAACACATATATTTACAATATAATTCATAACTAAAAAAATTAAAATTATGAAGTAGTAATGAAAATAATTTTATGACTGAGGGTCATTCCCAACATGAGCAACTGTCTTAAGGGTCACAGCTTTAGAAAGGTTGAGAACCACTTCTTTTGCTAGACATAAAACTAATAAAAGGAGTCTAACTTGTTCAGTGTTCCATTATTGTCACAATGCTTGAGATACAGCAACTTAAAAAAAGAAAAGTTTGATTTATCTTGCAGTTTGGGGGTTGCAGGTCAGAAAACAAGAGAGAAAGAAAAATGGCCTCCTTTGTGGCATATTATAAAAAAGAATATGTCATGAGCAAGCAGCTCATGACATGGTTGCCAGTTACCTACAACCATCCATTTGGCACACATCTAACAGGATTTTATTACCATCCAATGATACTAACCTGAAGATCAAAGTACCATTGTTTGGGCCTTTGCGGTATCTGTCCTGATTAAAGCCACAACAGGGTAGTTGAGGACAGGGAATATTGACAGAGGACAAATACAAGACCAAACAGTTCTGAGGCTAATTGCCACTCCATGTAAGACTGGAGGCTCCTATACAGTCTTTCTTGCTAATCTTATATCACTAGTTCATGAGTAAAAAAGTATTCAAATATGCTTCATGCTAAATTGGATCCTTCTTGGATCCTATTTTATACAGTAACTTTGGAAGTATGGGTTTCTGATAAGGGTCCTTCAAATGTAACTTCACTCCTTTTCCCAAATAACACCCACAAATATCTTTATACTAAAGTATATTTCTATGAAAGGGTTTTAAAAGAAATCAGTTAGTATAATGTTCCTTTTTTCATGTTTTACTCTGTGGGAAGGAACATAGGTTTGAGAACTCCATAACTTTGGCTGCCAGTGAAAGCACTTCTGAGCATCTCACAAAGAGTCACCGCAGAAACACATCTGGTACACCTTCCATAGCAGTATCTGGTGCCTCCCTTTCCTCAGGTAGGTGGTTACAATATGAGTACTGTGCTGTTAAAAAAGACTAGGTCAAATTAAATTTCCTGTTTTCTATGGTATTGAGTAGATATTTTATACTTGAGAAAACAATCATCCATTATAAAAATGATTATCCAGTATAAAGCATCGGCACTTTCTAAAAGTGGTCCCATGAGATGCTTTAGGCCCACGGCATTTTAAAAAGTCTACTTATTGAGTGTATAGTTTTGCTACAAGTCATTGTTTAGGTTCAAAGCTATACCCGATTATTAGTATAGAAATACAGAAAGTAAAAATAGTTCTAGGGTGCATTTGATGTGACAGTTAATTACTCTTGCCTAGGTAGCAAGGAAATAAATGATAGTTTAATCTATAGAATGACTAGATATTCCGTGTACCCAGACAAATTAAATTGGAATCACTTGCAAGAAGCTTGGCCTCATGTGCTTTCTATTGCTGTGATAGACACCATGGCCTTGGAGAAGAAAGGTATAGATAGCTTTTAGCCTATCATGAAGGGTAAGCAGAAACTAAAGCACAGACCATGGAAGAATGCAGCTTACTTGCTTGCATGACTTGCTCAATCTGCTTTCATGAACGCCCCAGGACCACCTCCTGAGGGCTAGTACTGGTCACAGTGATATGGTTCCTTCCATATTAATATCAGTCAAGAAAATGCTCCCACAGTCAACCTGATCGAAGCGTTTTCTCAGTTGAGCTTCTCTTCCCAGTAACCAAACTTTAAAAAAAGAGGCCATGAATCTGAAAGAGTTGGGGTGGGGTATGCACATGGGATGGTTTGGAGGGAACTAAGGGAAGGGGGAAGTGATATAATTATATAATCTCAAAAATATATATTAAAAATAAGTAAGTCTAATATCTCAATAGAAAGAATTCCATGATACTTGAAAGAAAATACTAACCAACGCATATATTAGATATTAAAAAGAAGTCTTTTCATTTATATGAATATTATTTATATTGCAGTTTATTACAATGAACTTACCTATGAGTAAGAAAATTCTTCAGAGAAATAATTAAGTCCACAACATTAAACCATTATTTGTTGCTTAAGAATAATATCTGCATGCAGTCTACAGCTAGATTCTGGCTTGTAACTTGAATTTTAAGGAAATCTTTCCTAGGCAACAGGCTCCTAAAGGGTTTATGTGTGCATGTTTTGTGTGTTTGTGGGTGTATCCATGTACATGTGTGGCACTAGGGACCAGGGCCCCGTAAAATGCGTGTTCTCAAAGACAGGAAAGTGGGCCAACAAAATGGTACAGTGGGTAAAGGGGCTTGTAGCCAACCCTGACAACCTGTGTTTAGTTCCCAGGATCCCACATGATGAAAGGAGAGAACCAACTCCCAAAAGCTGTCCTGTGATTTCCACTCGTGTCATAGCACACGTGAATGGGCACACACACTAAATAAATAAGTGCAGTTTTCAAAAAAAATAGTAAAGTAGTGCACCTGTCCAATGGAAAAAAACCTAACATATCCTAGAAACTAACGTCATAAAGTTAACTTGTACTGCATGTCTTCTATAACTCCTGATCATTCGGTACATACTCTACCAGGCACTGTGCTAAACACTTTCTCATCACTGCATCTGCCATTTCAAACTTAAGTATTTGATTGCTCTTTCCAGTCTCTCTCCTCTATAAGCAACTATATTTGTCTCAGCAGGACTTTAGAACAGAACTATTCTGTGGAAGTAAACTGCCATGACTTGGTAAGCTGTCTACAGCATTGTCGAGAAGCATATCAATTGTTAATTTTAAAAACTGAAATTAAGATGCTAGGAAGGAATGTTCTTGTAACTAAGGAAATCAAAATCTCTCAGTTTTTCTCTAGTCATTTCTTTTGCATTTGAAAGTGGAAATTACGATCAGTTGGCTTCATTTTATGTGAAATGTAAAAACGCAGTGAATTCTCTTCAAGAATGTTAAGTTCTTTTTCTCATGAAGCTTAAGGACCCAATCTATGAACATTTTTAATATTTAGGAAGAAGTAAATCAGAATCTTTAAACAGCTTAAAGCTACCCTTGGATTTTATAACAGAGTACTTAACCCCATGTAAGCAAAAGACAAACGAAAACAGATGTGCTCATGTTTATATCAAGGCAATTACCAATATACTATAAAAATGTAAGTATGTTAATGTATAGCAGCATGGAGTTTGTGAGCCTGAATGCTGTTTCCATTGCACACACTCTCTCTCTCTCTCTCTCTCTCTCTCTCTCTCTCTGTATGTGTGTATACATGTATGCATGTATAAACTGAGATATTGAAATGCTGAAATATTTGCAATGCAACCATGACAAAATAAGCTGACTCACATCTGAATTTCATATTTATTCCTGCAGACCAGAGTCAATCTGAGTTAGATTTGAGTGAGTCATTTCCGGAAGACTTACAGGACGTGTCAAGCATAAAAAGCAGATCTGTCCCTGGGGCATTAGACAAAGATTTGGTAAGTTGGATGTGGGAGGAAGTTCGGTAACACATGGAAAGGAGGGCATGATCTGGCTTCAAGCATTTGCACTTTTAGGGTCATAAGTTGAAAGTAAAATGAAGACATGCAGTATATCTTCTTGGCAGTATTGACAATCAAATATAAAAACAACTAAAACACTGCAATTGAAAAGATAAAAACAGTACTTCAAGGAAAGTTGCATTATGAATATATACATATTGAAACAATATAAAGTAACTTAGCAATGCATGAAAATGCTGTAGTAAGATAAAGTATATTTTATTCCAAGTAGGAATGGAATATTTAATATGCATATGAAATGAAATAGCAGTATATTCCAAGAATATATTAAAGAACATATAAAGCTGTGTTTTAAAAAGTCAAAAACTTGTGATAAAATTTTAATCATACCTATAAAAGTCTACTTTAAAACTGATCAAAGCCATTTAAATGTGACTTTAAAATATTACATATCAATATATCTGACATAAATGTCTGCAGATGTTTGTCACAATTGTTTGTCACAGTAGAGCACTAGATGAGATGGAATGTCTACAATTAGGATGAATCAACAAAATGCTAGCCAACTCCTTAAAAGTATAAGGTAGACATTGGTGATAATGCTGGAGGGGCGCCCTTTCATTAGTATTTAAACAGATGATGATACACAGAATATAGACCTTGTCCTGTGAAAGCAAATAACAAAATCCTCGTGTGTGTATTTATGTGTAAGCATGTAAGCATGGAGTTTTTAACCCTGATTACCTCAGGACAACACTAAGAACTAAATTAAAAGGGACTTCAGATCTCCTTAGTCTATAAAAGTGCACAAAAACCTCAGAGTGGAAGAAACAGAATGCACCTTCCTTATCACACAACTGCAACTGTACTTCTTTCCCACCCACTTCTCAGCAAGCCACAGCAAGTAAGCATTCCAGCATGGAAATTCTGAAGTCTCCTAGTGACTGGAAAGTAAAAAAAATGCTTTCATGAGTTCACAAAAGTGATTCTTATATAATATTTTAACTTCCTAAAACTCTTTTGTTACTTAGAATTTAAAATGAAATTTTTTCAAAAATTTAAATATTTAAAATTTTAAATAAATTTATACTACAACATGTGGGGATTTAAAAAAATATTACATATCAAACAGTTATAGAATATGCCATTTTAAATGTTGATACTATTAATCTACTTCCATTACAATTTAGCAGATAGCATGGATTTTTACAGTCATTTTATTAGTTAATAATGTTCTGGAGGTTTGGAAAATGTAATAAGAAGAAATAGAAATGTTTTCATAACTTTTTTATAAGAGCCCACAGTAATCTGGGTCCCTTTGCCATTGATACCAATCAAGAAAATTCCCTACAGACTTACCAAAGTTCATTCAAAGACAGGGAGAAGGGATTATATGAGCAGGGGGTGAGGGGGTCAAGAGCATGACAAGGAAATTCACAGACAGATGACTTGAACTTGTGGGATCTCATTAACACTAGACAAACAGCTGGGGAGCCTGCATGTGACCAGACTAGGCCCTCTGCATGTGGGAGACAGTTGTGTAGCTTGATCTGTTTGTGGGACCTCTGGCAGTAGAACCAGGATCTTTCCCTGGTGCATAAGCTGGCTTTTTTGGAGCCCATTCCAGATGGTGGGGTGACTTGCTCAGATTCTGTGCATTGGGAGAGGGGGGTTCTTGGTCCTGCCTTAGCTTGATGTACCAGGTTTTGTTGAGTCCCCATGGGAGGCCTTACCCTTTCTGAGGAGTAGATAAGGGGTTAGTTGGAGGGATGTAGTGAGGGGAGGAGGGGAGGGAGGGGGACTGTGGTTGGTATGTAAAATGAATTTAAAAATTAAAAAAGCCCTAAGGCATGCCTACATGTCAATCTGATAGGGCCATTTTCTCAACTGAGATTCCCTCTTCCCAGGTGACCCTAGCATGTGTCAAGTTAACAGAGAACTAACCAAAGCAATGGACATGAAAAAGGAAATGACATTCTGAAAATGGAATTGAGGAAGTGATTGTAACTTCTCTGTCTTCATTTTTTTAGATTTCCAAACTATTTTATCAATTTTTCATTAATTTTACATACCAAGCACAGTTTCTCCTCCCTCCTCTCCTGTTCCCTCCCACCACTTCCCATCTAACCCCCCCATCCACTCCTCCTTCCTCTCTATTCACAAAGGTGTAGGTCTCCCATGGGAGTTAACAAAGCATGGCACATCAAGTTGAGATAGGACTAAGCTCCTGCCCCAGCATCAAGGCTGGGTGAGGCAATCCAGCATAGGGAATCAGAATATTAAACTACCCTAATTTTCATCAGAAATCCTTCATCCAGTAACTGATGGAATCAGATGCAAAGATCCACAACTAAGCACTGGGCTGAGCTCCAGAAATCCTGTTGAATAGAGTGAGGAGGGATATACAAGCAAAGGAGATCAAGGTCATGACAGGGGAACCCATAGAGACAGCTGACCTGAGCTCCTGGTAGCTTACTGACTCTGGACCAACAACTAGGGAGCCTGCATGGGACTGACCTTGGATCCCTGTATATAACTGCATAACTTGGTCTCTTTGTAAGGCTACTAGCAGTGGAATCAGGACATGTCCATGGCACTTGAGCTGGCTTTTGGGAACCTATTTCCCATGTAGCTTGTCTGTCTTGATAATGATTTTACAACGGTCTGCTCCTGATTTGCTAAGACTCAACTACAGTTATAATACTAGATTATAGCTATATACATATCAAGTTAGGTTGCGGTACATTATGTATGGAAAAACCTTCAAACCAAACTCAAATTGTGTATGGAAGCCTCTTCAGGTCAAACTTAAAATTTCCCATGAAAAAAAATCTAAGGTGTGAATAGCTTTACTATTCTTTTCCATCAAGTATCTGAGGTTATTGCTGTTGTAGACAAGATATGACTCTGGAACCCATTCTAGCCTGGTACTATATATCCCAGGCTGGCCTTAAGCTTGCATGTAGTCCTCTGGCCTTCGCCTCCCAAGGAGTGATGTCAAAGGTGTGATCAATCAGGCCTAGTCCATTAAGTATTTGAAGAAGAAATCATGTAGTTCACAAATTCATTCAGATATTTGATCAGGAAGTATTGCCACAGTTATTATATGTCATCCATTACTTCACCAGTTAACAATGCTAGATAGACCTCACAAGAACAAAAAACAACATCTCAGTACACTTAATGAATACAGGTGTGAATGTCTTTAATAAAGTCTCAGCCTTGTACTGAAAATAAAAATCACATACTACAACTAAGTGAGATTTATTCCTCAGAAGCAAGGTTGATCAACTATTTAAAAATAAATGAATGTTGGGGCTACAGTGATCACCTCAAGGTTAAGAGTACTTGCTGCTTTTAGAGATGACCTGAATTTGTTCCTAGCACCTCTATCGGTTGACTCACAAGCACTTAAGATTCTAGATCTGAAACCCTCTTCTGGCCTCTGTGGGCACATGCACATACAAATAAAAATAAAATATTGAGTTTTTAAAATGAACTGAAGGTGGTACTAAAAATAAATAGCTCTAACATCTCAGCAGAAGGAGGGATATTTAACAAAATCTCAATGTATATATAATAAAACCTCAACAAACTAGAAAAGAGAATTTCCTCAGCCTAATGAAGGCATGTATAGACAATGGCAAAAATGAGTTAAATACTGTCTACATCCAGTAAACAAAGCAGAGTTGCTTCATTCAACATTACACAGGAAGTTAGAGCGACTGGTACAAAGGAGAAAAAGAAAAGAATGGAAGACTAAAAGTAAAGGAAGGTTCTCAGTGAGAATAAAAAAACAGTTCAGTGTGATTAACTCTCAGATGATGTGATCCTATATGTAGAAAATCCTAAATAAAGTAAAAATATGATTTGACTACAGTTATAGAAATAAGTAATATTTTATACAAATAAAGAAGAAGCAAATTGGTATCAGTATTCTATGGCAAGACTGAGTACAAGATAGAAACAGTAATATTTTCAAAGTTTTGAGAGAAAACTATTTTAAACCTAAAACTTTTTAAAAACAGGGCCTCCAAGACACACCAAACAAAAGGCTACATTGGAAGCAGTTTAGAGTCAAATGCACTTATGAAAAGGAAGAAATCTTGCAACTGTTGCAGAAGATTTTAATTGGTAAAGTTATACAATAAAGCTAAGATCAAAGAAGCAGAAAATAACGAATACATATTCAACAAGTCTTTAAATTCTGTTTTAAAAATACCAATAAAGGTCACTGATCTTATAGCAGTTAAATTAAGCATCAAAAACAAAAAATGTGAGTTTAAATTTTAAAATAATTCATGAACTTTCATGGTAAAATATTTATTCAGATAAGGAAGAAATCATAACAGAGCGGGGTTAGAGAGAGACTGGAGAGTGTGTGTATGTGTGTGTGTGTGTGTGTGTGTGTATGTGAGAGAGAGAGGGGGAGGGAGGGAGGAATGGAGGGAGAGAGAGAGAGAGAGACACAGAGAGAGAGAGAGAGAGAGAGAGAGAGAGAGAGAGAGAGAGAGAGAGTAGTAGGGAAGTTCAATTCTAACTAAAAATAACAAGTGTATTGCCCAAAGTGTATTGCCTTAGATACCATGGAGGTTGGAATTAAACCCAGGTCTGTAGGATTCCAAATTTCATATGCTTTCCATCAAGCAAGTGTTACTAGGAAAGAGGCCCTACAATGTCCAGTACCTGTCTACTCCTTTGATTTTTGTAATTAACCTAAACCTAAAAGAGAGTTTCTTTCTCTGTTTTCCTTTGACTTTCCAAGTGTTTTTTGAAATAAATCATTTTTTTTCATGTAAAAGAAATCCTCCTAGGATAGAAATAAACCAAACCACTGATTTTTTCCATCCTTTCCTAGAACTCTTTAGAAGAGACTGAAGATGGTGATGATGACTTAGTGTCATCTGGGTTTTCTGCAAATCCCCACAGTCTGGCAACAGGTCTGTCAACGGTAAGATTTCTCATGGAATCTTTCTTTTTCTTGTTCATTCCCTGTGCATTTCCAAGACAAGAGAGGTATGATCACATGTCCCAAGCTGTTGTAGGTTCGAGCTTGCCCTTTGCCCATACACTACCTTGCACTCTATTTCGATTTCTGAATCCTTCCTTCTTCTGCAACGATCCTCGTTCAGCTTTTGTGCTCTCTTTACTCCCATTTTGTATAGAACTGGATAAGAAGAGTTTGAAAACTCACAACACAAAGAATTAAGTGGTGAAGGAGATAGAAAGGCTATCTGCCATGATATGACCGTTGTTGGTAGCATGAGTCATATGGTACTCCTGTAAACATACACAATTGTTTCATAAATCCCTTCAGAAATTCTTCATTTTCTAATTCAGACTCCTTCGTCTTAATTCTATAAATTATTCCAGTTCCCTATTGATACGTTTCTCTCATATCATTCTCTCAACTCCCCAACTGCTCTCCACACTTCTGCCAGTTATTTTCCTATAAAACATCCCTACTTTGCTTTCTTTCCTACACACAAAAAAACCTATCTAAAGCTTGTCACTGTGTTGAGGGAAAATTCTGTGCTTACCTGGAGTTGATGATCCCCTTTGAGAGCAAGCCTTTAGCAACCATCATGCCTTTGAATCTCCCTGTGTACCTGTGTATTTCTTTGCTTCTCTGATTTCTATGCTCTAATACCCATTTTCTTTTGGTCATTGGATGGCATCCTTAAAGAACTCCCAAGCAGGATCTGATAGGAAGAGGAGCTACCTAAATGTGCCTGATGCTGATTCAGACACCGTGAGTCTTCACCCCTGTTTCCCCCTTCCCAACCATACTTCATAAGTTCCATGGTTTGGGAAATGTGGTTGTATGAGAAGTTCCACCTGTTTTATGACTGGTACACAGCCAGACACTCCTTTTGGAAGGGATTCATGAGCTGACACATCTCAAGTATCCCAATTTATTAAACATTGGAATCTGAGTACCATTCAAAAGACATGTCCAAAAATGGTTCATTAATAGCATGAGTATCTCCACTTTAAGTCACAGAAATGTCTTGATAAAGAAAAGGGTTTGTTAGCAGTAAAATTGTCATAATTACTTTAAATCCCCCTAAGTCTCAATTTTGAGACTTCTTAAATTTTCTTCTATTCGCCGGGCGGTGGTGGCGCACGCCTTTAATCCCAGCACTCGGGAGGCAGAGGCAGGCGGATCTCTGTGAGTTCGAGGCCAGGCTGGACCGATAGCCTCCAAAACAATACAGAGAAACCCTGTCTCGGAAAAACCAAAAAAACATTTCTTCTATTCATAGGAATCCCTCATCCCTCTCTGACAATATAGTTACAGAGGGTAGTCTTAAAAATATAGGTCAGTTATAAAAGGAATCAATGAGTTGTGGTCCATAGGACTTTTGACTAGAAACCCAGAACTTTCCTCTAGGACTTGGTATTACTAACAAATCTGTGAGCCAAAGTTTCTTCATGTATAATATGGTTGAGGCTAATTCATGAAGCTCTTAAGACTTGAACCATGGTCTATGGATCAACACTATTGTATAGCCATGGACCCCAAACTTTCTCAACTTATAAAGCCCAAGGATCTCAATAGTTCTTCATTGTAACTCCCAGGTGAAGAGTAAGGACTGGTTTCACAAAAACTTAGTAAGAACTTACATCCTCTGAAGTTAATAACTATTTGAAGAAAAAAATTATTCAGGTAAATTTTTATTCAGTTCTTAAATTGTTCTATTATTTCTAAAGGATGTGTGTACTTGATGAGTACTATATAGTTTCTCAGATCTTAAAATCTCATTAGACATCATCACATTCACCTGACATTCCACATTAATATTTTTGCTTTTTTTTGGCTTGAGAAAAGTTCATCTTGTTAGAGAAACTCAACACCCTTCTGCCTTCATCTCCTGAATTCTGAGGTGATGGACATGTACCATCATGTCAGATTCCTATATTTTTTAGAGTGAGTAAATTGCCAAAAGCTAATCACATCACAAATAATATTTCATTGGAGAAATAAAATAGGATATTAATAAAGACACTAGTTAGTGCTTTGCCAGCTCTTTTTGCTGTCTGATAGATGCTGCTGTAGCTATGTTTCCCTTTCAAATCTCTATTGGTATTTCCATGAGTTTACAGTGGTACCATGGGTACAAGCACACATTATTTGGGTCCTTAAGACCTAGTTGTCTGTACAAAAACTAAAATGTCAAAATCTATCCCTGACTTAATTTTTATTCTAAAATGATCTCTAATACACTTATTATGTAGTTAATGTTTAAAAATTCTGTTGAATTTATTTTAAGAATAGGAAAGACAAATTCTGTTATTTATTGGCTCTCTTTAAGAAATAGCTTATATGCAATTTTAGGATTCTTGGTTCATTCTTGCCTTTGACTTCAGTTTAAAAGAAATTATGAGCTAAGTCAGGTATATCCTGTTTCTTGGAGAAATAACATCCTGTTTGAAACATAATAGCCTTTACAAAACAATAACAATAAAATCCAGACATGGTCAGGTAAACAGACACATAGTAAAATAAATAGATAGAAATATAGATACATAGATACATTCATGTATCCATATACTATATCTGACAGATAAATGCTCCATAGATACTTTTTGTGTCTATATCTGTCTATATAAATGACAATTCTACACTCTTTGTACTGCTGTGTCTTTGCTTCTCAGTGGTCAACGCAAGGTTATAAAACTACTGCATCATGAATGTCACCGGCCTTTTGTGTCTATCATATTATTAAGAGTCTTTGTATCTAGCACTAAATAATAATGCTACATTGGTTTAATATATATATATCTTGTGTTATGAATATCTTGACAAAATTTTAGGCATCTTTATAGAATTTTTTATTTTTCTGATTAATTGAGGTACTTAATTTTTGGTGCTGTATTTTGGTCATTTACTATTCCATGGAATTTCAAAGCCATGGGTCTTAGACTACCTATACAGTCACACCACTACTAAGTTGGGGAACTGACACCCTTGTGAGTATAGGATGTCCTGCCATACCTTTGTGCAGGCTACAGTTATAGTTCCCCTAGGACTGATGACATACAGTATGAGTGTAAAGAAAGACACTAAGATTTTTGTTAATTCATAATATGGAGTGAGCTTTTATTTCTCCCGATCATTACATTCTAGATATTTAAATAGATTGCATTTGAATCTAGCAGGAAAAGGCAGTGACAGGGATGGTGAAGCAAGATAGTATTAGAAATCTCCAAATGATTCCATATTCATTAGGAGACAAGAATAAAGGATTTCAGCTAACCCAAAGGAGATGCTGCCTTCTTCTCTCAGCAAGCTTCCTGCCTCCCTTACTAAGGAAGCTTAGTGGGGTGTTCTTTTGAGGTTAGAATTTTATGCACCATCATCAAAACAAGCAAATAGTGAGTTCCTTCCTTCCCTCACCCTTGACTCCCCTGACATACACATAGAATATCAATTTGAATTGACTAAAGGGGGTGGATTTTGTAAGTGCCCTGTAATAGCACTAGGTGACTTCGTTCCTCTTTATTCCAGACCAGCCTTAATAGCATGATGAGTGTTTACAGTGAAACAGGAGACTATGGCAACGTGAAGGTCACTGGTGAAATTCTTCTCCACATCAGCTACTGCTACAAAACTGGTGGCCTCTACATTTTTGTCAAGAATTGCAGAAATCTGGCCATAGGAGATGAAAAGAAACAGAGGACAGATGCGTAAGTACATAGGATGTTCCACGGCTGTCTCCAGCACTGCCATCTCTGCCTTCATTTTTCTGTGTCATGCACATTTCATCTTCAGAAGAGATTAAGGATTTCCTTCAATTAAAACCTTCTGAGCCAGGAGGTGGTGGCACACACCTTTAATCCTAGCACTCGGAAAGGCAGAACTCTGCATGCAGATCTCTGTGAGTTCCAGGCCAGCCTGGTCTACAGAGTAAGTTCCAGGACATCCAGGATTATTATACAATAAAACCCTGTCTTTAAAAACAAGAACCTTAGAAAGCTACTTATGACTGGGTATGGTGGCACACACCTTTAATCACAGCACATGCACTCAGGAGTTAGAAGCAGGTGGATCTCTGTGAGTATGAGGCTAGCCTGGTATACAAAGAGAGTTCCAGGACAACCAGGGATGTTACACAAAGAAACCCTGTCTTGTTTTGACATTTTTTATTGAGATATACATGTTTTCCCACCCCTTTCCCTCCTTTCCTGTGTCCCTCCACCCTTCCCCTTCCTACCACACTCCTAATTTACTTAGGAGAGCTTGTCTTTTTTTCCCTTTCTTGGAAGATCCATTTATGTCTCTCTTGGGGTCCTCTTTGTTACGTAGATTCCTTGGGATTGTGGCCTATAGGCTTGTTGTCCTTTCCTTTATGTCTAATATCCACTTATGAGTGAGTACATATTATATTTGTCTTTCTGGGTCTAGAAACTCTGTTTGAAAAAAAAGAAAGAAAGCTACTTGTGACTTCCTTCCAATACTGCTCTTCTAAATATTTTTTGGAGTATGAGTATAAATATTGTATCATTGGTAACCTGATTTGAAGGAGGCCATTATATGATTCAGGACTAACTTTTAGCTAGCACAGAAGCCAGTTGTGGGAGAGAAAAGCTGACATGTCAGCATATACCGTGATGTCTAAGACTGTTATGCTGATTATTTAAAATATTTTTCATACAATATATTGTGATCATATTCTTTCCTCTTCCTAGCCTTCCCAGGTTTTCCACTACCAACTTTATGTTCTTTCTTTCTCTTAGAACAAAACTGCATGCAAGCACGTGCATGTGGAAACACACACACACACAGACACACACACACAATGTAAACAAAATAAAACAATAACACGGAGTCCAATTTATATTTGTCAACTACTCCTGGGCATGAGTCCTGCCTTGGAGTGTACTTGATTATACCCAGTGCCACTTCATTGAAGAAAGCCATTTTGTCACTCCCAGCAGCTATCAATCATAAATAGATTCTCAGCTAGGGATGTGATTTTTGCTCATTTCATATACTCTAGATTTTAGATGGTTGAATGGCAAATATCATTATTTTGGCCAGCATGGAAAGGAGCCATGTGAACCCCCCGCCGTAGATGTGCTTCATAACTCTGGTATAGCATGATTCAATCTTGTGCATGCCTCTGTCTTCTCTGATGTCCTTGTCCCAAGAGGTTTCTAAAATAGTTAGCTAGCATGAGCTAAGGGATTGGGTTAAACTTCTGCCAGGTTGTCATTTTCCATTTCTTCATTCATACAGTAGTACAGTACTGCAGCTTCTCATGTATGTTTCATGCGTTAGGTATTTTTGCTATCCCACTTTCTATACTTGAGGAAACAGATGTAGAAAAGTTAAAAACCCAAGGCTATCAAAAGCAATGATACATGGGTAGTCCCAATCAACTTTTTTGATGCCATTGCCTGTTCTCTACCAATATACAACACTGCTTCTTTCTTATAGAAAGCCCAGAATTATATTTATGACAGCATTTTACAAAGACTTAAGTTTCTTTGTTCATTGCTTTTATCTACTTTCCCATTCCCTTTACTCACTGAAGTTCTGAAATCATTCTAGTAAAGTATATGTTTGCAAATAATGATTTTTATCCTTCATTATTTACAGTTATGTCAAGTCATACCTTCTTCCAGACAAGTCCCGAAGCAATAAGCGCAAGACAAAAATCAGGACAGGTACCAATCCAGAATTCAACGAAACATTAAAGGTAAATAAATACTACCATAAAGACTCATGTCAGCCGGGCGGTGGTGGTGCAAGCCTTTAATCCCAGCACTCGGGAGGCAGAGACAGGCAGATCTCTGTGAGTTCGAGGCCAGGCTGGACCGACAGCCTCCAAAACAATACAGAGAAACCCTGTCTCGTAAAACCAAAAAAAAAAAAAGATTCATGTCATATTAACTAAGAACCTCTTCAATTTAGGCCAGAAGGTGGTGTCAGGGATATTAAGAGTTCAGGGCTAGCCTGAGATGGCATAGTGACATCCAAACAAGCCTGGTCTGCAGAATAAGACTCTCCCTGTGTCAAAAATTTTAAAAATTACCAAAATGAAATGAAGAAATAACTAAATGGAACATTTTTGTATTCCCATGCTCATGCGTGTTTTAGAAAGTTAGAATTTGAATGTTGTTAGCTTTCCTGGAAGTTTTTGGAAAAGAAAAAGACCCTTGCTCTAGTCACTCTCTGCTTAAGTAAAAATGATCTAGGAAAATTACAAATTACATCTAGGCTTGTCATAAAATAAGTTGAACCTTTGAGAAATCTACTTTCTTAGACTTTGTCTAAGAAACTAACTCAGTTAATCACTTTATACACATTTGTTGCTTTGCTAACAAGGGCTATGTGCTGTTTTATATTTTGATCTCCAAGTTTGGCTAAATATACGTGTGTGTGGTTAGTGAATACTAGTAATACTAGGTCACATTTGATAAAACATGAACCAGACTTTAGATTCTAAATTGTAAAGAAATTACTATTTCTAATGTGTAGCCATAAGCAAGCCCTTCTCTCACTCTGGATCCATATGGCCTGGTAAGAAACACAAAGAAATGATAAAGTATATTAATAATCATAGGAAAACGATTGGATTTGTGCCCCCCAAGTAAAGGATTCAGAGCCTATCACAGTGGGTGGTAGTAATGGAAAAAAGCATGGGTCTACATGTATTAATAGAGGCATGTAAATGGAGGTTTCTTGTTACACCGACCAGTTCCCAAATAACCACTCTAAGAATTAATGTTAATTAAAATTGCTTGAACAATGGCCCAGGCATATTCCTGGCTAGCTCTCATTAAATTAACTCATTTTTACTAATCTGTGTATCACGACCAGCAATGTCCTGACATCTTACCCCTTCATGGTATCTCCCAGACTCTACCTTCATTCTCTGTATCTCTGCTTGGATTTCCTGCCTGGCTCTATTCTGCCTGACCATTGGCAAAAAAGCTTTATTCATCAACCAATAAAAAGCAACATACATTCACAGAATACAGAAGGACATCCCACTTCAGAGACATGTGTGGAAGCAGGGGCCAATATTAAGACAAGTCAAATGTAAAAATGAACAAATACCGTCTGGGTGTTAACCCATAATAGAATAGCAAAGATGAGCCCAAGCAGGACAGATAAGCACAGTGACAGATAAATCCAGGGAGTAGAAAACCAAAGTCAATTGTAATGGTAACAGCTGGGACAGGGCTACATATAAATTAAAGCTAATAAACAGTCAGTCTGGAGTGTGACCCAGATAGATAAAAAAAACTGGAAGGTTAGAAGATATGTGGTCATGCAATTCTGCTGGAAAAGTAAAAGCAAGCCCCCTAATATTTATTTTCTTCTCAACCTGTGTGTGGTTTTTAACTTCTACTGGGCTTTATGAAGTTTAGGTTACAATTTTCTTATGTCAGTACTTTTCTGGATTTAAGGATTTTTATTATGAATAAATAAGTTGTAGAATTGTTCTATTAAACCTAGAGCTACAAAGTAGACATGAAAAAAAACAAACAGGTAAATGACAAATTGGAAAGAGACTTCTTCATTTAACACTTTCAATATTGTCCCTGAAGTTTCTTTTACCCCTCTTATAATATAATATATATAATATATAATTATATGATATATATATATTTCTTAACTAGGTATAACCTAAAATGTATTTTAATGTGTATCTTCAATTGTATCAGAAATAAACATGTTATTTCCATATTGCTGATGCCTATGATCTGAAAATTGGTGAAGTCAATTTCAGCCTGCTCTACAATTAGATAGAACCCACCCTGCTGAGTGTGATTCTTTACATCTCATTTGTAGTATACCATCAGCCACACACAGCTGGAAACAAGAACTCTGCAGCTCTCAGTCTGGCACTATGATCGCTTTGGACGCAACAGTTTCCTTGGAGAGGTGGAGATTGCTTTTGACTCATGGAACTTTGAAAATCCATGTGATGAGTGGTTTGTGCTTCAGCCCAAGGTAGGAAATAATTCCAGATTAGTCCACCAGCTGTACAATTAGACAAACCTGAGAAAAAGTGATATTTCAGGCGTGAAGATGCTGAAGGCTTCTAAATTTCAAGTAATAATCAGTAAAGATTATTATAACCTTTAGGAGATATTATAAATCAATTATTTTAGAAGATCTTCATAGATACATATTGTATAGTATATGAAGCTATGTAATAATACTTGAGTAACTTTTATTACTGAAATCCATTTGTCATTGGAAGATCTCCATGGATTACTGAAAAGACCATACTATATTATCCTATAGACAAGAAAGTCTTTATTAAAACAAATCTACAGAGCATGGCTAATCCCAAAACATTATTTCCTTTTCTTACTTTCTACAATTCACAGCATAAGCAGGAATAGTCTTGGATCACTTGTGTGACCACTAGCCAAAATATTTTTTACTCTACGAGTTCATAAAATGGCAATATACTCTAGCATGTTCAACCTTAGAACAATAATGCCTTGGATTCATTATAGGCAAATAATTTTCTTGACATTTGTCAGATTTTAAGTAAAAAGGAGAATGAAAAGGTTACCAGAGATTATTCCTTATTTGTAGTGGTAAAGGATCTCTTGGTAAAGATAGTGAACTAAAATTAACATTGGTTCCCCCGTGACTTCAAAATGCCTATGTGATCTGAACCAAGTTACTTTCTAACCCTTGAAATTCTTATTTGTAGTATAATCATCACTATTGTAGCTGTTGTTACAACTCTGAGACCTGGTGTATTTGAAGTGATGTCCTCTTAGAAAATTGGTATTGTTTGAATAAGAATTTTCTGTAAGGCTGTCACCATTCTGTTAGGCACATTGTAAACTGTCAATAAAAGCTTGGTAGTGTTCACATTGATTAGTAGCTTGACCCAGATTGGTAAATCTTGCCAAGGCCATGGAGTCTTGGCTTTCTACTCTTTTTTAGCTTTACTTTCAGGGTTCACACATTGTTGACTCCTTTCCTAGCTCCACCCATGCTAAACCTGTACATTATTAGCTACAAGTGGGTAATTATTCCATTCTGTGCACTATACTATTAAGAAAAGGAACATTTTTTTCCTCTTTTAGTAGTCAAAACAATGCCTTTGGCCAACCTGGTTCTCTTAACTCTAATTATGTTGTCCTTTCTATCATGAGCTAATAACTTGCCAGTGAGGTGAGATATGTTGGTTGGAATAAAAACATTAACAGTGTAGTCTGGTCATAATGGTAGGGTTGCCACAAAAGAAATCAAACACCATAGATAGAACTAATGAGAAAGTAAACAATACTAGAGAGAAAAACCAAATGATATTACCCATAACACTATCAGTGGCAGCAGTGCTGGTACTTAATTGTCACAACTCCATGAGGTAAACAATATTCTCCCCATCTTATAGATGAAGGAGCTGAGATCTAGAAGTTAAATTCAACTTGCTGGTGGATTATTTTTAAACTACTGGTCTTAAACTTAATATAAATAACTCATAAAAATGTAGGAGATATATTTGGCCTCTACGAAAAAAGTTTTAAAATTCTTAAGCATAATAGTAAGCACACAGCTGGCATGAATATGATAGAGAAGTATAGTTTTATCAGTAATAAGATCCATGATATCATAATTTATCCTGATATTTTATATAGAAAATATTTGGTCATTCAGGATTAGGCATTTGTAACTGAATGAAAAGCCCTACCATAAAAGTATTTAGCTGACTTAGCAGTTTTCTATGATTTGAATCATTTTTGTATAGTATTGTTACCAGTTGTCTGGCTCAAGTCTTTTTGCTCTGCTCCAATAGATATAAATAAGAATAAGATATTCAATCATTGTTTTTGATAGCTCTTGTATCACTTGATGTTAACAGAAACAAACAACAATAATTGTTAAACTCTCTAGTGTAGCTCTCATGCAGGCCATAGTTAGCAGGTCCCTGATTCTACAAATGTTGCAGCTCTTATATAGACCTAAAATACCTAGGACCCTCAGTTCTGCCAATGTTATAGCTCTTATATGGTCCCATGAAATCTAGACTTCTATGCCCTTATCAATAGCTAACAATACAGCTTCTGGTTCAGCTTAGGTATCAAAACTTCTTACTGTTCACAATTGTGTTGTATACTAATTGATATCTGAGAAGTTTAGGTCCTAAAGACAATTCTATGGAAACCTTCTATTGAATAGTACTAGCAGTTTCCTTTCATTGACTCATTAAGGCCTCTTATCTTTCATCTATTTTTTTCATTCCTCATGAGCTCTTGTATCCAAATGAAGGACTATATTTGGACCAGTAACAGCAGTGTCTATTTTATCGATAACATAAATAAGCAATTTTTGCAAATTAAGGTTTGTATTTACCAATCAAAACACTTATTTTTATACATGTCACAATAAACCTACTATGGAAATTAAGATTTGTTTTTGGACCAATCACAGAAATTATGTTTATACTTGGTACAATAAGCCTAATACATAGACAAGGCACTATGTTTGAACCAATCACAATAGTTGTAAACTTTGTACCAGTTATGGCAAAGCTCTCATGCAAATGAAGCCTTATATTTGAACCAATCACGGCCATCACTTTTGTATATGTCACAATAAGCCTAGAGTGCAAACTAAGGTTTGTGTTTTGTCCAACAACAGCATTCTTCATTTATCACTGACGGAAGTAAGCATTTTATGCAAATTATGTTTTATACTTAGACCAATCACAGCACCTGCTTTTATATATGTCACAATAAACCTATTATGCAAATGAAGCATTGTTTTTGAACCAATCACAAGAGTGGTATATTTTTCACAGCTACAACAATCCTCTCATGCAAATGAAGGCTTATTTTTGAACCAGTCACAGCAATCACTTTTGTACATGTCAAATGAGCCTACTATGTAAATTAAGGTTTGTGTTTTGACCAATCACAGCACTTACTTTCATACATGTCATTATAGCCTTATTATGCAAATTAACCAATCATGACAGTGGTAAGTTTTTTCCCCAGTTACAGCAAGCCTCTCATGCAAATAAGGCTTATTTTTGAACCAATCATAGCCATCACTTTTGTACATGTCACTATGCAAATTAATGTTTATGTTTTGCCTAATCACAGCACTTCCTCTTATATAGGATACAATAAGCCTACTATGCAAATTAAGGTTTGTGTTTAAAATTAAGGCTTATATTTGGCCCAGTCACAACACTTACTTTTATATATGTCACAATAACCCTACTATGCAAAGGAAGCACTGTCTTTGAACCAATCACAAGAGTGTTAATTTTTCCTCAAGGAAACCTTCATGCAAATTCATGCAAATTAAGGCTTACCTTTGACCAATCAGGTCATCCCTTTTGTACATGTCACAATAAACCTATTATGCAAATTAGGGTTTGAGTTTGAACCAATCACAGGAATTACTTTTTTACTTGGTACAATAAGCCTATTACACAGATGAGGCACCGTGTTTAAGCCAATCACACTAGTAGTAAACTTTGTCCCACATAAAGTAAGCCTCTCATGCAAATGAAGGCTTATTTTTGAACCAATGACAGCCATCACTTTAATACATGTCACAGTAAACCTACTATGCAAATTAAGGCTTGTGTTTGGACTAATCACTGCATTCTCCCTTTTATCACTTAAAGAAGTAAGCATTTTATGCAAATTAAGGTTTGCATTTGGACCAGTCACAGAACTTGCTTTTATACATGTCACAATAACCCTACTATGCCAATTTATCTCTGTGTTCAGAACAATCACAGGAGTGATGAGTTTTGTTCCTGTTACAACAAATCTCTCAGGCAAATGATGGCTTATTTTTGAACTAATCACAGCCATCACTTTTATACATGTTACAATAAACCTGCTATGTAAACTAAGATTGGACCAGTCATGGCATTCTCCAGTTTATCACTGACAGAAGAAAACATTTTATACAAATTAAGTTTTGCATTTAGACTAATCACAGCACTTACTCTTCTTATACATGTCACAGAAACCTTACTATGCAAATGATGGACTGTGTTGGGACCAATCACAGCATTCCATATTTTTGACTCTCTGCTGGAATTAATTTAGAGGTACCTGGTCATCTGGTATTATGGTTTGAATGTGACAAGACCCTCCCACATAGTAGCTAGCTGGTGAAAATTTGTTAAACCTGGGAAGTAGGGCTTAACTAGAAAATGTGGATTGTTAGGGGTGCTCTTGAGGGTTATAGTTCCCCATTGGTTCCATAAGGATTCTGTCTTTTTCCTGACTTGAGGAGACATGGGCAGACTGCCTCAAGGTTATGCCACCATGACTGTGGCTGAAATAAACCATTTCTCCCCTACATTGTTTCTATTGGTCATTTTGTTCTTGTTATGTATATAGCATGAGAATTGAGAAATAGTATTTGGTTTAAAACTACATGGCATTAATTTTAACAATTTTATTCTTTCACTACATTTGTGTGTGTGTACATGAAGGTCTGCCACAGAGCATGTGTGAAGGGCAGAGAATAACTCACAGGAGTCCATTCTTTCCTGCCATGTGGATCCTGGGGATAGAGTTCAGGTCACCAGGCTTACTGAGCCATCTTGCTAGTCCCATGTTTCCCAAACTTTAAAGACATAGGAAACCTTACAAAACATGGGCTGGTGAGATGCCTCAGCAGATAAAAGCATTTATCCTGTGGGCCTGATGACCTGACCTTTGTCCCCAGAATCCATTAAAAGGTGGAAAAAGAGAATCTATTTTTCTTGGGCAGGATTTCTATTGTTGTGAAGAGACACTATGACCACAGTAACTCTTAAAAAGGAAAATCATTTAATTGGGTGGCTTACAGTTTCAGAGGTTTAGTCCGTTATCATCATGGCAGGAAACATAGTGGCATGCAGACAGACATGGTGCTGGAGAAGGAGCTTCGAGTCCTACATCTTTGATCCACAGGCAACAGGAAGTGAACTGAGACACTAGGCATGACTTCTTCATATATGAGACTTCAAAGCCCACCTCCATAATGACACACTTCCTTTAACAAGGCCATACTTACTCCAACAAAGCCACACATCTTAGTAGTGCCACCCCCTATGAGCTTTTGGGTGCCAATTACATAAAAACTACCATACTACTCTACAAAGTTGTCCCCCATCTCCACAAATATGCCATCGCATGTATGTCCTTACACACACATACCATAGAACTCATCAACCTTTATGTACTTAGGAATGGCAGTTGATGAATGCAAAGAGGTTAGAGATGTAAAATGTTAAGTTTGTGTGGTTTGCTATGTTTAATGTGGTGATTTTTTACCTCCATTAAAAACAAAGAACTTTATTGATTAAAGTTGAGAAATAATTAAAACAGTGATTATTTCATTTATCTGTTTTGTCTATTTTGAGACAGGATCATTCTATATAGCACTGGCTGCCCTGGAACTCACTACATAGAAGAAGTTGGCCTCAGACTCACAAAAATCTGCTTGCCTTTGGCTCTTAAGTGCTGGGATTAAAGGCATATAGCACCATACTCAGCAAGACACCAATTCTGCTTGTAGTTATTTGTGTTATGTGTTGTAGGTCCATTTCCACAAAATTTCTTGCTTTTCCTGCCAATAAACTAAAGACAACAACACATTATAAAAATAATTCCAGTAGAAATTATTTGAAACAATCTCCTTCCCTTGTCTGTCATTTCAGTTCAGCCCACACTCTACAAGCTAATTCATGGTGAGCAGCCCTAGAACTTTGATATTTTTAATCTAGTGTCCAGATAAGGTGGAGTGTGAGCTGTAGGGACTGATTCCTCTACTAATAAAAGATCAGAATTAATAGTCCTTAATAATTAATAGTCCTTAGCAGTACTGACTTCTTTAGCAGTGGAAATGACAGAGCAATATACTACTGTACTGCATATTGATTATGTTACTGAAAGTCCTTCAGTACTGAGAGCTTTGTTTGTGTTAGGTACTACAGCAGAAGCCAGTGAGGAGGCTGGTGCTGACAGAAAAGGGATTCAAGATGTCAAACTTCAGTACTGTAAAGTAATTTCACAACATAACTTCTATTTTACTGCATGGCATGGGACTCTTTATTACCTATAACTCATTATCCTTTTGAAAGTCATGTAGTTTGTCAGTATGAATTGCTGCTATTCAAGCCTTCCCAAGAGGTGCTGTTAGAAAAACAAGGACCTCTGGAAACAAGCAGCAAGCTTAAGTGGTTTTCCAAGGAAACGTTCTCTTATTTTGCCTTCAAGCAGAGAGTAAATGCACATTTCTTTGGGATTATTATCTAGCTAAAAGCTGCTCTTTACTTGACAGTGTTGGCACTTTTGTCTGTAATCTATTTCCCCATCTTACACCTACAAATGCACTGGGATGTATGTTTTTTTCTGCATGGAAAGAAGCTCTGTCTTTTCAGACAGCACAAGATGGTGAGTGCCATCTGATGATTTCCCACACACTCACCTGCTGAGAGTCGCAATAATTTTCTGCTGCTTTGGGGGGATAGTTTTAATCAATGCTGCCTCTTTTCCTGCCACTAAAGTGCTCACTTGATATGTGTCAGCTTTGGTTGTAGCCCAGCATGGCATACGTTTATTTTCAAATAAATATGACTCTTCATTGTTTTCACTCCCATCTTCTGTGATCTTATACTAATGGAGTAAACTTTGTCTGGGAGCATAGAGAACCTTAATACCACAGGAGGGGAAGTTTCCTGGGGCTGAGGCAGATCCTTTAGTCAGTTACTAATGAATGAAGACAAACAGACACTCCTATGTAGGGAGACATCTTAGACACCTGTGCCGGGAACTACACCCACTTTGGGCGTGGCTACAGGTATATAGGGAAGTGGAAATAAAGGGCTGTGCAGGGGGACACTGGCTCTCTCTTGGGGTTCCAGTTGGGTCTCAGAGAGCTTTGCAACGCTGACCTTAGTTTCTCAGCTTCTCATGTAAGTAACTTCTCCCTAATAAACTATCATATGACATCCCTTCCTTGTTTAGCTTAATATTCCTCAATGCTCCTACTCTTGCACTTCTATGTAGGGTAGTTCTTTCCTGTCATGTTCCCAGAGCTATCCTGTATTCTAGTTTCATTTCTGTTGCTGTTTCAAATACCCTGACAAAAAACAAGAGAATGAAGGAAAATGTGTACTTGATTTATTCCAGGTCATTGTTCATCATTTCAGGGAAATCAAGGCAGGAAACCAAGCAGTTTAGGAAAGTCACATTCATAGTCGAGATCAATGAAAGGAATAATTCATACTGGATCCTGTATGGATTGCTTTCATCTAGCTTTCTCATGTCTTATATAATTCAGAATCCCCCTGGTTATGTAATTATGTAATGCTGCTGGTTATGGTTGATTAGGTCTTTCTGTGTGCTGGTTAGGTTTTTGCTTGTTTGCTTGATTGGTTGGTTTTGTTATTGGTGGTAGTGGTTTTCAAGGTGACACAAAGATCTAAGTAGAGGAAATCTCAATTGAGGAAATATTGCTATCATATTGGCACGTAAACAAGTCTGTGAGGCATTCTTTTGATTAGTGATTGATGTGGAAGGGTCCAGTACACTATGGGTGATGCCACCCTGGAGCATGGGGCAGGTGATCCTGGCTTGTACAAAACAGCAAGCTGAGCAGGCCATGGATGCAAGCTACCAAGCAGTGTTCTTTCATAGTATCCACTTCAGTTCCTGCCCTGACTTCCCTTTATGGTGGACTGTGAACTGTAAGGTGAAATAAACCCTTCCTCTTCAGGTTGCTTTTGGCTATGATGTCTTTAAAATAGCAACTAGAACAACAATCAAAACAATTTCCCACAATCATGCCCACAGATAAACCTAGATAATCCCTTGATTGAAAGTCTTCCCAAGTGATTCTAGATTGTATCAAATTGGAAGTTAAAGACAATCACCATACTTTGGGACAGAGCAAAAATTGCTCCCAATGAGCTTTACCTGATGCCACACACTTGTTAAGCATTTTAAACTTATTTTTGTTTTATGTAAATTGGTATTTTGCCTGCTTGTATGTCTGTGTGAAGGAGTGAGCACCTTGGGACACAGAGTTATAGGCAGATGTGAGATGCCATGTGGGTGCTGGGAATTGGATCTGGGTCTTTTAGAAGAACACTAAGTGCTATTAACCACTGAGACATCTCACCAGCTCCCAAGCATTTTTAACTTTTTATTCCCTATTCTTAGTACAGTCTCTGACATGAATTCATGTTTTGAAGTCCTCTGAGTGAATCCAGAATATATACTTATTTCCATACTCCTTATTATTGCTTCCCTACACACAAAGCCTTGGACATAGCTGGCTTCCTACCAATGTAAACATATTTTAATAAGTCCGTGTCATATTTTCTCATACTTATTTCTGAATCCATTTAGACACAAATAACAAAATTTCCTTCCATATGGACCACATATCCAATGTCTATTCACTCAATGATATACACTTGGCTGATTAGAATGTTTAGCTATTGTGGAGAGCTTGGCAATGAACACAAAACTACAAAGGTCTTTTTGACATATGGATTTCATTTCCTTTGACCATATAACTAATAGAAGGATTGATAAATAATATTGTAGTACTAGTTTTCATCTTTAGTTTTTGAGACACATCCATGATACTTTGTATTACAGCTTTATTAATTTGAATTCTTGCTAACAATGTGCAATCATTCCTTTTTCTGTATATCTTTAACTGTTGTACATGTCATCTTTGTAGTAGGAGCTATTCCAGAAGGTCTGTGGATGAGTGTCATATGAGCTTAATTTGCTTTTATCTAAAAGTTGGTAATTGTGAACACTATTCATAAACCTGTTGACCATTTGCATGCCTTCTTTTGAGAACTTCACCAAAGTTTAACAAGGTTATTGACTTTACTATTGAGTAATTTCAGTTCCTTATATATCTTGGTTACTTATTCCCTATCAGATGCAGATATTTTCTCACATCACCTAGATTGTCTCCTTACTTTGTTGACTGTTTCCCTTGTTATACAGCACCTAGATTGTCTCCTTACTTTGTTGACTGTTTCCCTTGTCTCCTTACTTTGTTGACTGTTTCCCTTGTTATACAGCACCTAGATTGTCTCCTTACTTTGATGAATGTTTGCCTTGTTATACAGAAGTATTGAAACTGTGATCCCAGGTTATAAGATGTGATCCAATTTGGCTGTTTGTTTTTGTTTTTGTTTCCTATACTTTTGGGATCATATCGTACCCCTTCACAAAAACAAAATGGTTGACAAAATCAATGCCTATAACACTTTCCCCCTACACTTCCCAAATTATTTTCTGTTGTCTTACCATTTTAGGTCTTACAGTTAATTCCATAATCCATTTTGTTTTGATTTTATATATGGTATATAATGCCTATATAGAATATATGTTTAGAGCCCAGACCAGCAGAGGCAGCAGCCGGAGCAGCCGCAGCCTGCGCCCTCTCCTGCCCGCCCGCCCTCCGCCGCCCTCCACCCGCCCCGGGGTCTCTTTCCCCCTTCCTCCTCCTCCACCCCCCCTCCTCCGCCCGCTAGCGGGGCCCCCCTCGCCTTCCCGCCCGCCCCTATTGTTCCGCCCCCGGCCTCCCGCCCTTCCCCTTCCCGCCCGCTCCCCTTTTCCCCTCAGTCGACTCGCGCCTCCAGTTTTGGCTTTCACTCCCACCAGTGACCAAAGACTTGACCACTCCAAGTCCAGCTCCCTGTTACTACTAGACATGGACACCGGTGTGATTGAAGGTGGATTAAATGTCATTCTCACCATCAGGCTACTTATGCATGGAAAGGAAGTTGGCAGTATCATCGGAAAGAAAGGAGAATCTGTTAAGAAGATACGCGAGGAGAGTGGTGCACGGATCAACATCTCAGAAGGGAATTGTCCTGAGAGAATTATCACTTTGGCTGGACCGACTAATGCCATCTTCAAAGCCTTTGCTATGATCATTGACAAACTGGAAGAGGACATAAGCAGCTCTATGACCAATAGCACAGCTGCCAGTAGACCCCCGTCACCTTACGGTTGGTGGTTCCTGCTAGTCAGTGTGGCTCTCTCATTGGGAAAGGTGGTTGCAAGATCAAGGAAATAAGAGAGAGTACAGGGGCTCAGGTCCAGGTGGCAGGGGATATGCTCCCCAACTCAACTGAGCGGGCAATCACTATTGCTGGCATCCCGCAATCCATCATTGAGTGTGTTAAACAAATCTGCGTGGTCATGTTGGAGACTCTCTCCCAGTCCCCTCCGAAGGGCGTGACCATCCCGTACCGGTCCAAGCCCTCAAGTTCTCCAGTCATCTTTGCAGGTGGCCAGGCCTATACCATTCAAGGACAGTATGCCATTCCACAGCCAGATTTGACCAAGCTGCACCAGTTGGCAATGCAACAGTCTCATTTTCCCATGACCCATGGCAACACCGGATTCAGTGCAGGTTTGGATGCGTCTGCTCAAACTACTTCTCATGAACTCACCATTCCAAATGATTTGATTGGCTGCATAATCGGGCGTCAGGGCGCCAAAATCAATGAGATCCGTCAGATGTCTGGGGCGCAGATCAAAATTGCAAACCCAGTGGAAGGATCTACTGATAGGCAGGTCACCATCACTGGGTCTGCTGCCAGCATTAGCCTGGCCCAGTATCTTATCAATGTCAGGCTTTCCTCGGAGACAGGTGGTATGGGGAGCAGCTAGAGCAGTGCAGGTTCATCCATGATCCCTTCCTGCTCTTCACCACCACCCATGATCCATCTGTGTAGTTTCTCAACAGTCAGCGATTCCAGGTTTTAAATAGTTTGTACATTTTCAGTTTCTACACACTTTATCATCCACTCATGATTTTTTTTTAATTCAAAGCGTTTTAATTCCTTTCTCTGTTCAGCAGTTATGCTGAGATATCCATATTTAGTTTTACAAGCTTCTCCCCTTTTTCCATTTTTTTTTCATTTTTTTGGCTCATGAATTTTTGTTTGTCATGGAAATGTAAGAGTGGAATATTAATACATTTCAGTTTAGTTCTGTAATGTCAGGAATTTTTCAAAAAAAATTAAAAGATGGACTGGAGCTTTTTCTTTGTGAATAGAAACTGGATGCCACAGTGACTCATGTGGGTGTTATTCCTGTCTTGATGTTATTTTTATACCTTTAAACCTTCACATAGCCCTGGTTGGGTTTGAATAGAATTAAGATATTTTCTTCTGTTTTACCACTCCATTTTTTTGGTTGTTGTTGCTTTAATTGCCCTTGATCCTTTCCCTCCATGATTTTGGGTGGCCTTTAGGAAGTTTACTCATGAAGGATGGCAATTGGATTGTAGAGCAACAGTGTGTCTCTGGAGCTGGGTCAGGAAAGCTGTGTATGCATTTTGCTTGTGTACATACACACACACACACACACACACGTATCTGGTACATATGTAAGCTTTCGATAGAATGCCCCTTATTCAAGCTTTTGTACTTTAACCATATGTTTTAGTTCACTGGGTGTTTTGAAACCCACTTATGTTCTTGTCCTGAAATCATTTAGAAAAGTTATCTTAGGAAGCTGGGTTCAACATGTTTAGAAAAAGTAGAAAGTTGTCTTAAATCCATGTATTCCACTCCACTCCATCCATTCACCAAGAAAACCCTCGACAGCTGGGCCTGCATGGAGTGGTTATATTTCAAGGTTTTTCACAGGGGTTACAATATGACAGTCCCCACCCTACCAGGCACAGGATAACAGTAGGGACTTAGACAGCAGCACCCCAGTTCTCATCTCTTCAGCCTGAGCCGTCACATGCTATCAGTCTTCTAACTTGCCTCTGGGCCCTAAGCCAGGGCTGGGGCAGAGAAACAGGGACAAAGAAATGGGTTACATTGCCACCTGAGAGACCTCAGAGGGGGAGGACCCAGCCTTAGTTTTCCTCTTCCCAAGTGCAAAATGTGTAAACAGTAAACGGAAAATAAAAGTGCAGTCTTAAGTGGATCCTCTCCTGCCCTCCCCCCCCCCACCCAGTGTTTAAAGGGGTAGACAGTGTAGAGACAAGCCTGGCTTTTCTATTGCCTAGTTGCTTGCTGAACATAAGGAATGGTGTGAAGCAAGAAGGGACCAGTTTACTTTCCTTGTAGCTCTAGGGTGTTACTTGGAATCATTCAGTTCTACAGCTGCCAGAGTCCCTAGAACTTACTCGGTAGTTGGTCGGGGGGGGGGGTCCTTCATTATCAAGCCTGACTTAAGGCTAAGAAAGCCCCATCTATCTGTTGATTATGTGGCGCATATATATTATTTATATAAATATTTCTCTATGTACAAGGAAAAAAAAAGAATATATGTTTAGAGTTATTCTTCTGTCTGTAGACATTCAATCTTTCCAATAGTATTAAAGGTACTATACTTTGTTCATGTGTGTTGTTAGTACATGTCTTAGTCACTATTTTATTGCTATGAAGAGACACTTTGAATAAGTCAACTTGTATAAGAGAAAGTGTTTAATTAGGGACTTGATTACGGTTTTATAGGTTTAATACAGGGAACATGGTGGCACATGGGAAGACATGGTGCTGGAGAAGTAGTTAAGAACTACATCCTAGTCTGCAGAGGGTTGGAGAGAAAGAGGAAGAAAGGAGAAAAAGAGAGACAGAGAGAGACAGAGACAGAGACAGAGACAGAGAGAGACTGGTCCTGTTATGTACTTTTAAAACCTAAAAGTACACCTCCCACACCTCCCAATGACTCTTTCTCTGACAAGACCACACATACTCCAACAAGGTCACACCTCCTAATCATTTTCAAATAGCTCCACTCCCCTGTGACTAAGTATTCAAATATATGAACCTATGGGGGACATTCTTATTCAAAACACCATAGTACTTTTATTGAAAATCAGCTGACCATAAGTTCCTGGACATACTTTTGGGTTCTTCATTAGGTTCCATGTGCCCTTTGTGCAAGTACCATATTGTTTTCACTATGTTCACAAGGGAGCACACATGTGTTTCAGTATAAAAATATACATTTATATACAAATGTTGATAGGAAATATTTAATATTGTTTAAATATTTGTTTGGTAATTAAAATTTGGCTATATATTTTCCTTTTACTGATGTCATTCTTACTGCATTATCTTCAAAAATTCTAATGCAATGATCTAAAGTGAAATAAGAAAATAAGAACACCCAAACTCTTGGAATCCAGTAATAGAGAAGGAGGAGTAGATGAGCAAATGGGTCAAGACCATGATGGGGAAACCCACAGAAACAGCTGACCTGAGCAAATGGGAGCTCAAGGACCCCAGTCTGACAGCTGGGGAACCAGCATAGGACCAAACCAGGTCCACTGAATATGGGTGCCAGTTGGGGGGCTTGGGCATTCTATGGAGCCTCTGGTAGTGAAACCAGTATTTGTCCTTGGTGCACAAATGGACTTTTGGAGCCCATTCCCTATGAAGGGATACTCTGTCAGCCTATCTACATGGAGGAGTGCCTGGGTCCTGCCCCAAATGATGTAACAGACTTTGATGATCTGCCATGGGAGTCCTCACCCTCCCTGAGGAGTGGATGGGAGGGGCATTGCAGGTTGGTGAGGATAATTGGAGGGAAGGAGGAAGAGGGAACTGGGATTAGTATGTAACATAAGATTGTTTTTAATTAAAATAAAAATTAATTTAAAAGGAGAAAAAGAAAATAATAACACTTTTTATTTGGTTTTACGAGACAGGGTTTCTCTGTATTGTTTTGGAGGCTGTCGGTCCAGCCTGGCCTCAAACTCACAGAGATCCTCCTGCCTCTGCCTCCCGAGTGCTGGGAGTAAAGTCATGTGCCACAACTGCCTGGCTACACCACCACTGCCCGGCATAATAACACTTTTAAATGAAAATTTTTCTACATATTCATAATTTTCAAATCTTCTACAGTTTTAAAGTCACATAAACCAAAATTTGACATTCAAATATTTGTTCCTCTAAAGTATCGAACCTAATTTCTATGGTAACAACTGTCTTAGTACACAAATCAATTTATGTAATACAGAGTTATATAATTACCACTACAAATTTGTCTGTCATTAAGAACCAAAGAGACTCATACAGGTGACTCTCTGTGGGCATGAAGTGATCAGAGCAAACACATACTATATTTGTAGAGGTAATCCAGCTCATTGCTGAGGATAATCTGATGATTTATAAATGTGCGAAGTAGAAAATAGCTTCTAAACTCTATTGAAAGTAGGGTCTGTGTCTAATGCATCCCCACAACATGTGTGACAGTAACCCATACATTTTCCTGAGTAGAAATTGATTGGTTAACGAAAATGGTGGTATGGGAGGGACATATTACCTTGGAATTTCCAAGCCAGAATATCAAATATACCACAATATATATGTTCAGCACTGTAACTGTCTTCTACATATTGTTATGTTATGAAATGCATTGGTTACTTTTCTTTCAACTTCATTCAGTGTAGGTTCATCTGAAAAGAGGGAGCTTCAGTTGAGAAATTATCTATCAAACTGGCTTTTAGGCAAATCTGTGGGTCATTTTCTTGAATAATGATTGATGTGGGTGGGGAACACATGGGGTGCAGTTCTACCTCTGGACAAGTAGCCCTGAGTTGTATAACAAAGTGGTCGAGCAAGACACAAGGAGAAAATTAATAAGTAAGTTTTCTCTATGGATTCTGTTGAGTTCCTGCCCTGGTTTCCTTTCATGATTAACTATAAGATGAAATACACCTTTTTCTTCCAAAGTTGCTTTGGACATGTGGTTTGTCACAGCAATAGAAACCAAATTAAAACATTGTAATATCTCATGGTTATTGTGTTATATTTTTATAATTCTAGAGGTTTATGTTTATTAAAAGTCACTAGTATATTTTACCTTTAGCTGAAAATCCACATAATGTCAATACATCCCAACAATGCATAGTTTGAGTCTGTATTTGTGAGTGAAATTTGCAAATATCTATTCCTACAACATATTTCTTAACTCAGAAGTTTCACCTAGTATCAAATAGGGGTGCTTTGATTATCTAGGGCGATATAGTAAACTAACAGAATCCTTCCAGGCTTTAAACAAAATTCTGGGATCGTTGTCTCTTGTAACTCTGTGTGTTGAATGAGCTCATCAAGGTAGTTTACAACAAAGGTGTCCTAGAATTACAGTCAAACAATTGACTAAATCTGACACTGTCTGAAGATTTGACTGAATTGGATGTTTGGTTAGCTTACTTCCTTATCCCATACTTGATGCTGACATATGCAGGCTGATATAGTGAGGCCTGCAAATTATACCACTTACTTTCTCTTCAACATGCAGGCTGAAACTCACAGTGTGGGCTCTAAGAGAAAGTATTCTATGAACATCCATTCCAAGGAAGAACATAGGACTGTCAACCTTTAGACATGGGCCCAGAAACAATACCATGCTCTGATGATCAAAGAAATACAACAGCTACTCATTCCCAAAGAAGACAAATAGCCCACCTCACAATGATCATAGTATCAAAAAAGTAGAGACTATTTTAATCAATTATAATGTCCATTAGAATTTTTCTTTTTAAATTATTTTTCTTTTTTATTTATTTAAATTTTTACACGTTACTCTCAGTTCCCTCTCCCTCCCCTCCTCCACCGACCGCCGAATCCTCCCAATGCCCACCCCACTCCATCCCTCCTCCTCTCCCCAGGGAGAGTAAGGGCTTCCATGAGGGCTTTTCAGAGTCTGTCATAACATCCCAGGCAGGACCTAGGTCCTCCCTCATGTGTTCAGACTGAGAGAACATCCCTTCATGTGGAATGGGCTCCCATAGTCTATTTGTATACCAGGAATAAATACTTCTCTACTCTTCAGGGTCCCACAGATGGTCACAGGGGCTTCTTCTCTGACACCCAGGTCTGGGGGGCGGTGTCTGGATCAGTCCCATGCTGGCCTCTCAGTCATCAGTCTGGAGTCCCCCTTGTTTAGGTCAGCTGCCTCTTTGGGATTTGCCAGCCTGGTTTTGATTCCTTTGCTCATCATTCTTCTTTGCAAGTAGGTTCCAGGACTTTAATTCAGTTTTTAGCTGTGGGTGTTTGCCTCTGCTTCCATCAGCCAGGGTTCTATGATGGCATATAAGGTCATCAATCTCATTATAATGAAAGGGCATTTAAGGTGTCATTCTTGTAGATCTAGTGCCAGATCTCTCCTCCAACGTATAATGGCTCCCTCTATTATGGTATCTCTCATTCTTCTCTCCT